TAATAAGTTTAACATTTTGCTTTTAGTCAGCTTAACTTGCTCATTCCAGCAGTGTCAAAATGGTGCAGAACCTGGTGTGTAAGGCTGAAAGGAAATGTCATCCTTTAAAAACAGAATAGATTTTGCTCTCCTTCTGATGTGAGACTCTTTGCCCTTTGGTCATTTCAACAGGCTATAAAAGCTTGGTCACGAAGCTTCCAAAGCCTTCTTCTACACTCCTGTACAGAAGACTCTGTTAAGGTTTAGGATAATTATAGATTCAGAATTTCAAAAATAACATAAAATAGAAACAAGACTGGAAAAAATCTCTAATCAGGATTTATCGATCAGCTGCTTATACTGCTGGGCTGCCACTGGGGGCAAGAGTTTTCAACTGCATCTTAATAATAAGCAAAATGAAACAAATAACAAAAAAATCCCACGAAAACCTCAAATGCAGTGTGCTGTGCTGGAGAACTGAGAGCTATGAAAATCGATGGACATGAGCCAGATTTGATACTGGAAAAACACTTGACCAGCTCACACACGGGGGAGGAAGTGATTTTTATTCTGCAGTGCTCTCATCACTGTGAGGGACCCATAGCTGGGACACTGGCATATGTCTTCTGCTGAAAGGAAAGTGATTTGTTTGTGCCTTATGCATGGAAGGAAAAATATCCAAAACAGCTTCTCCTAGTGAGCAAACTGCTGTTGTGGCACATTAAGGATGTGTTTGAGTATTCTGTCACTGATGTCTAATTGCCTGAGGAGATCACTAAATTAAGTCTTTTAAACTGTCAGAGTCTATTGAATACTGATTGTCAAAACAGTATGACAATATCCCATGGATTATTTTAACTCTTCCTCAGTTTTGTTTACAAGAAAAAAAAATAGCAAAGCTAATTTCTGGTCTCCCAAACCAGCTAAACACAAATGGGACTGTTCAGTGAAGGCACAGTTGTGTTTGTAGGTGGGGTTATGGCTTGCAAATGGAGGGGCTCAAGCTGATGTTTCTTGAAGAAGGGGAATTTGCACACCTGTCAACTCCACAAAAAGTTCTATTTTGCAAAAACCTCACTGAGATAGGGTGATTACTTTCTTCTCAACCTTTCTCCTCCTCCTTTGTTTTGAAACAGCTGAAGATGTGAAGCTTCAAAGCTTTGATCCAAGAGAGATGGCACAAGTACTCAATACCATGGCTATACTTTGAGGAAATACCAATTTAGCTGCAGAAATTGTTATTGCTAAGCTTGGTCTAGTTTCTTGGTGTTGTTAACCCATCCTCCTCCTGGCTCTCTGAAGTGACTGTGTTGCCTTTGTTCCTTTCATTCCTGTCTTGTCTCGTCCTTTCCTCTTTCCCCTTTTCCCCTTGCACCTTTGCCTAATTAGTTTGCAGACTGTTTGATAAGGGCAGGAACTGCCACTAAATAAAGGTGGGCACACTGACCCCCAGACAAATAAATCTAGCAATGGCTCAGGACTAGCTTATTCACAGCCCTTTTGCTTTCAACAGTAGGTGGCTTTTGTGTGTAAAATCTTATGCCATTTTTTTTGCAAACATTAATTTAAATATTTCGGAAATTCTGAGTAAAATGCAGCAACAGCAAAACAATAGTTAATACAAAATGACATAAGGGTAAGTTTATAGACATTTTTCTTCCCAAATAGCTCTGGTACCAAGGCAGCAGAACTTCTGGAGTCTGCTGTGGCTCGTCCCTCACGGACATAGTTGCTGGCTCTGCGTCGATCACACAGCAAGGTCCCACCTCTGACACACACGTAAGAGATGATCCAGTTCAATTATTGGGTCCTTCACGAAGTAGCAAGACTGTGAGTTAGAAAGGTGCAATGGTGGCCATCTGTATTTGTGAGCAGAGTATTTTTTATGGCCAAATTTCAAAGTACAGCAGTTATAGAAGCTTACAGTGTCAATAAGTAGAAAATATATGAATGTTTTAATGCTTCTTCTTGAAGCTTGTTGTGCCTGTGCCAGAGTCCTCCCAGGTTCCACGCACTTCATGGGAGATGCTATGGGCTGTGCCTTCCTCAAGACTCACTGTCAACATGAAGGCACCTGCCTCTTCCTGGAGCCACAGCAAACCTTGCAAAAACTACTTTAGCAAGCATAGATTTGTTAGCACTCAGGTGGCATGCCAGCTCTTCGCTGTCTCAGCTGCTGGCATAGCTGCTAAGGAGCAAGTAAAGCTTTTTTCAAAACTTTTCATAGCTAGGTATGAAGCTGCATTAGAGAAAGAGGAGCTGCTTTGTCATTACTGTAGGCAAGCCAAAGTCTATGGGGACAGCTAGATACAGGGAAATGATGACTGATGAATGTGGCTCTTTCCTCGACAGATATGAAACTGATTACCCAAAAAGTGACAGAAAATCAAAAAGTGACAGAAAATATATTGATTTTGCATTTATCTATAAAAGTGATTAGAAAACTTGTGGAAGCTGCAACCTGGAGGAATTCTTGTATAGAGCAATGATGGAGATAAACATGCTAAGAATTTCCCTCCTCCTCTGAGAGTTCAGACTAGCTGATTTAATTAGTTTTAAGCCTCTTCTACTGGGAAACTGCAAACGAAAAGTGCTTTCTTAAATCAGGGATACAGAAGATCTAATTCAGGTCTCTGCTCTTAAGAAGACTCATTTTATGAAGAATCAAAACTTTCAAGGCCCTATTCAAACAAGCTGAAATACCATTTTGAGCAAGATAATTTATTGTGGTGTCTGGAGTGGAGCATAAACACTCATATACATGGATGAGCACTGGCAGAGAAGGATTGGTATGGCCTAGCTATGAGCAGTGTGTCTTTGACACAAAAAATACTTAAACCCATTGTCAGCACAAATGATGCTGACCAAAAATTGTAAGACGATGTCCTGATTCTAGCTAAAATTCCCAGTTCTGTTCAGTGATTTTTACTTTCCAGTTTAGTCTTTTCTAAGAGGCTACACTTTCTGAAGTTAGCAGCATGTTTCTGCAGACAGTGTGTGCTACTGGCAGTGATAACACCTGATGTTTGCAGTTACTGCCTGGGACTGGGATGCAGAAAGGCTCTTGCTGATACTTATTCCTGCAGTGACCAAGGCCACTGCTGGCTCTTGTGTGCCACGCTGGGGGCGCCGAGGAGAAAGAAAGGTCACAAGGAGGTAACTGGTTGCACCTCCGGGAGGTAATAGACAGGACAGGTGACCAACGAGAGTATTCCATTCCATGTACACCATATTTAGTATAAATTGAGCAATCACGGGAATTTCTATTCCTTCTCTGCAATGGCTGGTGTTCATCGAGTGACTTCATCTGACCTCCTGCTTTTGATCCGGATCCTGAGTTCCCGAATCCAGCTCCCTGTATCCAGCTCCCGCCACCGCTGAGCCTGGGGCTTCCCCAGTGCCTCCTGCTCTGCAGCATCAGTGGGGACTGATATGAGGGGAGAGTCAAGTTTGATATTGAGCCTACATATAGTTGTATATAGTTCTTTATTTTTATAATTTCACTATTATTTCCATTATTGCTTCATTAAAGTTGTTTTAGTTTTTCTCTTCTAGCCTGTAAGTCTCCCTGCCTCATTCCCTTTTCCTTGCCATTTCGGAGGGAAGAGAGGGTTAGAGAGCGTCTATCCATGTTTAGTGGCTGGCCCAGCCCTAACCCGTGACAGATGAACAAAAGGAAAACACTGGTCACTGTATACTCTGGCTTTTCTCAGGAGCCAGATATGAGAGAAACAATTCAAGAGGAGAGCAGAGTTTCACAGCAGCACCTTGGTGATTGAGCATCGAGGCATCCACTCGAACAAGTTTTTTAATTGCAGTAGAGTCCAGAAATGGCCCCTCAGTAAAACAGATCATTAACTTGTTTGATGAGGAGGAACTGCAGCAGGCAAGAAAACATAAAGTAGGTGTGAGGGATGGGAAATGAATTGGTGAAACTGGTGGTAAGCTGGAATATAATGAAATAAAAGGTAATCAGGTTTTGAAAACATGACTGTTTGCCACAGTTCATGACATTCTATGAGCTGGCATTTCTATGCATTTTGCGTATCTCAGATTGTTGTCGTATGTTTTCTGGTGGCAACAACAGATTCGGTCCATTTTCTCCTGCCCTGTCAGGCCCCAGATGAGCTGAGTAACAAAAACTACTTGTGCATTTCAATGTGGAAAGAAATGCCAAGGCTTTACTATTTCATGTAAATTGATACCCTGATTTTGCCATAAAGGAGTATTCTATGTTACAGATTCTTACAGTACTGAACATCATGAACTGCTCAACTTAAGTCAGAGGACTTATTCTGTGAAAGGTATATACTGGGGGTATCTGCAGGTGCTTTTGTTGAATATGTTCTTAAAAATTAATGGTTACATGGCATAAAATTTAACTGATAGATAAGATTCTGTGCTGTGATAGTTACTTGGAGGCTTTGGCTAATGAATTTTAAATGGATGAATTAAAATTCATTAAATATTGACACTGGGAATAAGATACGCCAACTAAAAATCTCTGGCTGCTTAGAATAGTTCAGAAACTTAATGGAACCCTGCAGGTTATTTTCTGAGGTTTATAAAGAACTGCTTGGCCCACTTGCTGAATGCTTTGGCAGAGACCAAGCAAAATATTTCTCCATGCTTTTAGTAATGAGACTGCCATTGTGTTACTCAGGTTTGATAACAAATAACGAGATAAATAATTTTTCTTACCTGAAAAAGGTGAATTACCCCATGAAATGACAAGACGACAATTGTACCATAGAGACTGTGATAATTCTTAAATCTACTACAGTCTATAGCACTCACTCTTCGTTGCAGGTGTAATTATTTTCTGTGATATGCATTTAAACTGCCCAAATTTTCAGGACCTTAACGATTTGTGTTAGAAAAGCTTATCTCCTGCTGA